GAAGGAAGCCCAGCACCCATTTTAATGCAGGAGCAGCAGGCTGTCGCCTGGCCCAGGAGCCGATGGAGGGTGGTGATGCCCTCTAGTGCCACCGGCTCCAGGCTCCCGTGTCCCCATGGAGCTGGTCCTCCACTCCTGCATCCCCAGGGAGCTGGTCCCACGGGGACCCCGCGCTCCTAAAGGCAAGCTTTGCTTGTGCTGGGGTCTGAGAGGAGGGTCGTGCCCGGGATTCGGAGTGCTGGGGGAGCTGGAAAAGTGCCCCAGTGCCTGACTCCTGCTTCGGGAACAGGCTGCCCCGGGAACCTGTTGCAGAGGGGGCTGGTGGGGTCCCAATCGCTCAGCTGATCGCTCAAGCGCCATTACCTAAGGACAGTGGAGCCGTACGAGGCTGGTTATTGGGATCCCGGGCAGAGAGAGGAGGCAGACGTGTGGATCGAGCCGGGGTTTTGCAGCCGGTGGCACTGTTGGAACCTGAGCTTGACTTGGTGGTGGTGGGTGGCAGCAGAGGAGCCCCAGCAGGATGCCTCATCCCCCCAGGGGACTTTGCCATCCCCCTTGGGTGGCCAGGGCCAGCTCCCATCTCTTCTTGGGAGCAGATCCCGTGCTGATGATGGTCCTCGTGGCCAGCTCAGTGCATGCTGCGCGGGGTGAACGCGGCAGGTGGCACCATCCCCATGGCCATGGCTGTGCCGGGAGGATGAGGGATGCTCACAAGACCTGTGTGAGTCCCCTGGGCGCTGGCACGTGGCTGGGGGATGTGGAGAGGCCAGAGGGGGCTGTGCCTCCCCTCGAGAGCCCCTGTAGTCCCTAATAGGATCTGGGACTCGCTCCCTTGCACTCGGATGGAATTACCTTTCTTGTGAGGTCCTGCCCAGTAGAGCCGGGCTGTGGGGACCCTTGGGAGGGGATTGCTCGAGGAATTAACCACCTCTTGGCCATTAAGCTTCCCCCTCCTCACACGTGGTGCCGGGGAAGATTGAGTCCCCCAGCCTGGTGTGTGCACACACGTGCCGGAGGGGAGCATCCCGCATCTCCCTTCCCATGGGACAGCCGACGCACGGCAGGTCCCGACCCCGCGGCAGGAGGTGGCACAGGCTGCCCCGGCCCCTCTCACTGCAGCAGGAGCCATCCTCTGCGGGGGGGACTGCGGTGCAGGTGGGGATGTGAAGAGTTTACTGAGCATGGGGTGTTTTCAGGCTTTGCGTGTCCCCTGCCTGGCTGTGTCCCCTCCCTGTGCACCGCTCACCCCTGCATGGGCAGCTCAAGCTCTTTGTAGACCCCCCAGGAGTGCCGACGGTCGCCCCTCGGCTCCCTCACTGTGCTGAGCCCTGGGGACTGGTCCCCCCATGCCTGAGCTGTGGTTCTCCGTGTTCCGGGGGCCCAGCTGGGGCTCACAGGGGACCCCCCCCAAATTTCCTATGCGTATGCCAAGTGGGTTATGCTCATTCTGATGGGGTGGTGAGGGCAACCTGGGTGTCCCACAGGCACGTGCCGGGGTGATGGGGATGCTCTGACACTCTCTCTCCTGCCACCCCTCACTCTGCTCCTGGCAGGGGAAGGGATGGTGCCGGTGGTCCAGAGTGAGTGGAAGGTGGAACCACAAACCCAGGGAGGGGGTGCAGGCATCAGGGATGCTGTGACTGGGCTGATGACAGTGAAGTCAGCAGCACGGCCAGTGACATGGAAGGGTGAGGCTGGTGACATCCCGCTGGTGAGGCCCCATCCCTTTGGGACCCAGCCTCTCCCCCTGCGCAAGCTCCTGGGGGGATATTTCTTCTCATCTCGTTAACTTCTTGCGTGCTCCCAGCCTGCCGACCGCCGCCGGCCCGACATGTCAGCCGGGGACAAGAACGGGGGCAGCCGCTCCAGCAGCAGCCGCCTGCAGAGCAAGAAGCCCCCCAACCTCTCCATCGTCATCCCACCCCGGGAGGCGGAGGAGGACGGCGCCCGCAAGGAGGTGAGCGATGGGGACCTGCCTCCATCTCATGCTGGGCTCGGTGGCCTGCCGTGCCCGGGGCACCCCCCATATGCCGTCCCATCCCTAACACTCTGCTTTGTCTTCCAGCCCTCCAAAGTCCCCATCTACCGAAAGAGTAAGAGCCTGCAGGAGCCCCGCTCGAAGGGATGCGACGGCTCGGAGCGCCGGCCCGGCTTCCGCCGGCAGACTTCCCTGTCCCAGAGCATCCGCAAGTGAGCACCGGGCAGGTTCCGGCAATGACGGGATCACCAGAGGGGTCCCTTGGTCCCTGTTGGGGTGTGGTGGCTGTGGGTACCAGCAGAGGACTTGGGATGGGGATGGAAAGTCACAGCTCGGAAGGGAACGCCTTGAAGGGTTTTGCGCAGCTCTGCTTTGACTCGCTGGCGTCTGCCTGGGGATGATCCTGCAGCACAATTATTTAGTGCTAATTCACACCGTTGTTTTGTACATTGGGGAAATTTCTCGGTCCCGTTTACCTAAGACCTTCACACTCACCTTGAGCTGTTTGTCTGCCGCAGCCCAGAGCGGGCGCACTCTCCCGTACAAGGTGCGCATCTTGATGGAGTTACCTCTCCAGAGAGACCCAAAGGCCACGACGCCTCTGCAGAATCCCTTTCCCCATCCATAGCCCGGTCAAAACTTGCCCTGCTGCGGGCCCAGCTGAGACACCCCAACCCAGATCACCTGCCCGAGGGGAGGATGCCCAGGTGGGATGGTGGTACCTGGGGTGGGGGGAGCAGCTGGGTGACAAGCGTTCCCGTCGTGTGTCCAGGGGCACAGCGCAATGGTTCGGCGTCAGCAGCGACTGGGAGGGGAAGCGGCAGCAGTGGCAACGCAAGAGCTTGCAGCACTGCAGCATGAGATACG